TTTTTTTTTTTGGCCTGCTACTTGTGTCTCATTTATTTGAAAAATAAAGAGAAAGAATCGAAAGGATAGGCGAAGCGGACGAAGATTAAACTTCGACTTTGCACAGAAAGTCAAAGGATCAAAGGTTTGAAGTTCGTTTAATTCGATAATAAAATCCTTTCAAACTACTTGAAACCAGCTGAAGCAACTGACTAATCATTGTAGTTATCAACTGGAGACAAGTAACTAGAAAGGTGGCCCCAAGTTGATAGAAACTTTCACGTGTATTTCATTTCTATAAGATATTTATGTTACTTAAAATTCATCGTCAATAAAACACATCTCGAAAATATTCTCAGTAGCAACGATCGATGTGTTAAGAAATCGTCTCTCGTGAAAAATAATCCAAAGAACGAGATAATTCTTTGAAACGCGAAATTTCCACTTACACTTCTATAGAATAAAGTATTTCATTTCTGTTATTAGATTAGCTCGAATTACGTATTACTGGAAAGATACTACGTTACAAAGCGTATCTTTTGTTTCATCGTATCAATAAAACACATCTCGTGTTAACGATCGTGGAGTTAAATCGTTTCTCCGCGTAAAAAAAAAAAAGATAATCTCGGTGAAATAATGCAAAGAGCGAGACGGCTGTTCGAAACGCGAGCGTCAAAGGCGGGAAACGAAACGTTTATCCAACTGCAGCCTGACGTCACGCGCGCGTAATGACGGCCGATGGCCGGTTCTAGCCACGCATACGTGACAACGTTAAAATGTTAAACAGCGAAACGTAACGGGAACCACGGTGTCGTCTCGTTGACAGACACTTGGAACGCGTGGACAGCCGCGCGCGAACAGAGCACGCGTGCATACAAGCGCGTGGAAATTCGCGGCGCGAGCTGCTGCCAGCGCGTGCCCCACGCACTTGTGTACATTACTCGCGTGTTTGCCACGCGGCAGCCGTGTCCCACCGTGGCGAGAGTGCGACTCCGGGACTGAATGTCGGCTGTGCCACGTGTGAACGACGAATATTGCTTGGTTTTGGTAAACTGTTTGCGCGAATGAGGCGTTCGCGGCCAACCTTTCCAATATATATACAGGCTGCCCCGTTTGTAATCTGTAAATGCGATTAT